CTGGTAAAATTAGTAAGACTCATAAAAATGTGCATTGACGGATTTTCAAAGCCCACAAATAGTATTTAGTTAATTAAAAAAGAAACTCTCCTTTAAGATCACATCAGTAATATGAATGACTCAGCAAAGAGAGCTGTTTCTCAAAGAGACAGGTTTTTGGAAAAGCAAGTCAAATAGTCATTTTTAACAAATTTATTTTTTCACATCAGCAGTGGAGACATGCTCTCCTCTGAAATGAATTACCAACTGCTACCCACAATACTGCTTTCCCCCTTTAAGTTTTCTTTTTCTTTTACTGCTTTGTAGTTTTGTTTGATTTCACATGGAAAGACATGATACTATAATCAGACTCTGGGAAATAAAATTATTTTCTCAACAAAACCTTTTACACTCTGGAAAGTTTCTAAGATGACAGAGTAAAATGTGTTCCAACAGCCAGTGTCTATAAAAGCATGAACAGTGGATTCTTTGTCTATTGTTTATATTCTGAGGATTTTTTCGTGTGAGAAAGAATTTTTTAACAAAAGAAGGATGAAATTTGCTAGAAGGAATATGACGATAAAGCATCGCCATGACGATGATTTCACAGCAGGAAGTTGTATAAAATATCTTACGGTGCGTTTACGTTTCAAAATAACTTAATCTACATCAGGAAAGTTAAGATTATGGAACATTCATATTGAAATTATTAAGCAGGCCTTTAAATATTTAATTAATTTGATTTTTCAGATTACAGAGAAGAATGTGGACCCTGAAGAGATGCTTTTAACGTACCTTAGGAAAAAAGGTATGGTGTCTTGGGTGTGAAAGGAAAAAATAAAAATATACAGTATGCCACAAAAATGATAAATGTGTCTTATTATCCAAGCTCTGTGTCATAATTTGTTTTTTTAATGGCAGCCTTTAAGACTCCATTCAGTAAAGGTCACGTATTGCTGCATGGGGTTGCAGTTTAGTAGATATGTCTTCAGACGTAAAATTGATCGTTGTGAGTCTTGGGTTCAAGTCCCTGCTGCAGAAACTGAGTGAGGAACTTTAGCCCAGCAGTACGGTCCAGCTTTATAAATGAGGACCATCAGTTGTGATGGACAAACACAAGGATACAAGGATAAACTCTTGTTCAAGGAGCTGCTGTGGCTCTGGAATAAACTTCACTGTATTTTACTGTATAAGTGACAGCATTTAAAAATGCAAAACAAACACCTAACTGAGGCTTGTATAAGTACTGTTCAGAAACTTTGCTGTAATGCATAAGGTCAGTTGTAAAAAAATAGTGTACAGTACTTGTCATTAATTATATAACTGCATACATCCCAATAATCACCAATTGGGTTGTTTTCTGTTTATTTTCCACAATTATGTTGTTGAGCTAAGAACCTTTAAAGTATTTGCCAGTTCCAAAACACACATTGAATTACTAAGTGCCACTGGAAATAAAAACTTTATAAGTTGCTTTTTTGCATTCTGAATTATATGCAGTTCATATATTGCATCAGTGGTTTTGTGTGCGAAGTACATTGTTGACATAAGGGAAACTGTATGGAGCAGAAAACTGAGGGAAGATTATTAAGGATGCATTTTCACTTGTGCCTAAAACATAATATCACAGTACTAGAGGGACCATTTTCTCTTTTTCTAAGATTGATTTGCAATACATAACGAATGATGGCATAGGTCAATTAGTATTTAGTTTCTTTCTGTAATCTATAGAGACAAACATTCCAGGATTTTAATAGTGAAGAGGGCATGTCCACAGTAATGTACAATTTACAAGAACTATACTGAACAAATACGCATGTACTTCATTATTCACTATAAAAATGTTTCAATGTTTGCGTCATTTGTTTTCAGCTAAGCCTTCTGTATATATCTGTCCCTTTCTTTCTGTACAATTCAAAAGGCTGCTGTGATCTAATGTACAGTGTCCTTAGCAACACTTCAATGATATATTTATTGGTTAGCTCAGCATCGCTAAAAAACTGAGAAATGACCTCAACCATGTACAATATTAGATATCTTAAACCTGTTTATGGACATGTTGTCATGGCAAATCTTTACTACAAAAGAATAAGCATCCGCATACCTCTATTTATGATGTTAGGTAATTGCAGCTTCAAAACATTTTAAGTACTTTAAGTAGAAACCATTTTAAGTACTTGAAAGTAAAGTCAAGAAAAGTAAAGAAAAATTGAAAAACTGGTTCTTTGATGCAGTAGTAGTGACATTTTGAAAGCTGACAAGCTTTCATGTTTTGGGTCTATCTTGTTTATATTTATATTTGTCAATAATTTTTAAAAAGGGGGAACAGGACGAGGCATAAATTGTTTCATTTGTATCATCTGGAAGAACATCAATAGAGGGAACCATCATAAACTGATTTTAATTTACAGTTAATTGTTACTACGTAAGTAATCTGTAAATGTGAATGAAGTGAATAGGGACTAAAGGTCTTTAAATTGAGTTATAGTCTAAAATATTGTAACGCTACAGGGGCTCAGGCGGGCGCCCTTGCCGCATCTGGTCGGCCCCATCCCGACTGGAGGCTCGAACCCGGGACTTCCGCGTCTCTCTGCAGCGACCTAGCCCCGTGAGCTATAGAGAGATCTATCCACAGCCCAGTAGCTGTGGTCCTGCTATCACAGGGAAGGGCGGTGACGTCACCCGCTCTGGTACGCCGGCTCTTACACACAGTGCTTGTCGGCCGTAAGCGTTACAATATGTTTTATGTTAGAAGTCAAATTGTTTTGAAAATATGACTCATTGTTTTGGAAAAATGGATGACCTGGTAATCTGTAATCCTGGGTTCAATTTCTGGGATTCTATCTGTTTGGAGTTTGTATGTTCTCCTTGTGTCTGCAGGGGTTTTCTCCAGGTGCTCCGATTTCCTCCCACAGTCCAAAGACATACTGGCAGGTTAATTGGTTTCTGGGAAAAATGGCCCTGGTGTGAATCCCTGTGTCTGTGTTGAGCCGTGAGATGGACTAGTGTCCCATCCAGGCTGCATCCTGTTATGCACCCTTTGCTTGCCTGGATAGGGTTCAGAAATCCTACAAATTTAAATTGGATGAAGTGGTTAGATGGCTTGGATTATCACTTAACGGTATACTGTAGCTGTGGGGTAAAATGGGTAGGAAAGATAAAATTTTTACTTAAAAAAGCCTTTTTTTGCCTCATTATTTCTCCCATTGATATTTTTAACATTTTTGTTCTGTATACCCACGAATGGACAGATAATCTATTTAGTATTAATTGTATCTGACTTGAATGAATGAGTTAAAAATGACAATACAGATGCAGAGAATAAAAACAAAACACAAAACCTTTCTAAAAAAATAAGTTGTCACCTTAGCTTTAAAAGTGTCCAGCGTTCCTGATTTCTTTTGGGATGGTACTCCCAAGCTTTGGAGATTAACACCAGGCTCTGTCTCACATAGAGTGAAGACAGACAGTTGGAACAGAAAATAAACTAGAATTAGATGAGTGAAGGTCATGTAGAGGAGAGTAAATAGATAACATATCAATTAGATACTGAAGTGGTTCACCTTAGAGCCTTTAATACAGGGATTACATTGTGACGGAAACCTGACAGGGCGCCGACTTCAGAACATGAGTGATATTAACATTTGTCTCTCATTGTCCTAGCTGCCAAATTCTGAACTTCCTGTAACTTTCTTAGTGTAGTTTCACTGGCTCCTGCAAGCAGCATGTTTCAATAATCAATCCTCGAAAAAAGCAGACACACGAACCACGTTTCCGCTACAACAGACACATACATCAGGGGATGTAGCCTTTATTTTATCCATGTAACCTTAAATAAGACTAGCTTACCTTAAAGATAATTTATGCATTTGTTTAGTGAGCTACTTGTCGCCTCAGCCCTTTGTTCTGTATAATGTACTTTATTTCTATATTTATATCACATGCATTTTCATATCACAGCCAAAACACCATTAATCAGATGATCAGGCATTATCAGCAATAACCCAGCTAAGATTAATAATACTCAGGGTTCTTGTGATGAAAAATAAAAGGTTAATATTTGTTTAGCAGTAGCTCTATCTCTCTAGGAAAATAGATTAATGGATAATTTCACCGTGCCACTGGACTTAAGGATAGTTTCATTTTAGATCTTTTGGTTTCACAGGGTCAGGCTAGATGTGCATCCTTTATATTGCAAAACTTCAAGAACTTATGTTCTTCCAAGTTTTTAATGAATGTTGCAAGTGCTTTTTGGGTTTGTGCTTACCTGACATTTTCAACAACCTTGAAGATGTTTATAGTGGGCATCCTACTGTCTTCCTAACGGCAACGGAGTATTAGGGACAAGTTAATTCTAATAGTTTCTTTCTGCTTTTGCTTTTGCTGTGCAGTACGTCTCACTGGGACCAAGTATGCCTGTGGCACTGGAGGTTGTGGAGCCTGCACTGTGATGATCTCCAGATATAACCCCTTCCAGGAGCAAGTGCTGTATCCTCTCTCACAAACTGCAGCATCAGATACCCGACCTTGCACACCATAAACAGGCGAGTGCAGCAAAGATTGTATATTGTCAGGAATAAATTATACAATAATTTTCCACCGTATGAGCAATCACTACACACAAGTTCATTACTTCAGTTACTTTTTTTTCATTTTTCATATACATTCCTACTTGTTTTTTATTTTCACGCTCTGTTAAAGCATTGCAGAGATTACTCTTTTCTCACATCTTCTCGGATAAGGAATTTACCTTTTTTTGACAGTACATTTGAACTTTTTCTTATAATAAAGCCTTGTGTTTGTTAAGTGCTTAAAGTACTGGATGTTCCTTATGTTTATGCATTTGTTAACGACAAAAATGGTGTAACTACTGTACCATAAATGAGCAGGAGTGTTATTGTTTTCCTGTGTATTGTTTATGCATCAGCTAATGACTTTAAGCACATTACTCAACTAATTTTTTGGGAATGTTATTGTTTTCTGTGCTGTATTGGGTGTTTGAGGGAACACTTTTGAGTTCTGAAATCAATTGGAGATTATACCACGGGAAGTAACAGGAATTTAATTTCTGTCACGAGCTTTTACTTAGGGAGGCATGGTGGTGCAATATCTAGCTGCCTCGTGGTGTTGCAATCCTGGGTTCAGTTCCTGGGGTGCTATTTGTGTGGAGTTTGTTTGTTTTCCTTGTGTTGGTGTGGGTTTCCTCCAGAGGCTCTGGCTTCCTCCCACAGTCCAAAGACATACCGGTAGGTTAATTGGCTTCTGGGAAAATTGGCCTTGGTGTGATTGT